AAAAAAAGCACCAATCAGCGTTCTGTGTCTAGCTAAAGGATTGTAAATGCACCAATCAGCACTCTGTAAAAATGCACCAATCAGCACTCTGTGTCTAGCTAAAGGATTGTAAATGCACCAATCAGCACTCTGTGTCTAGCTAAAGGATTGTAAATGCACCAATCAGCACTCTGTGTCTAGCTAAAGGATTGTAAATGCACCAGCACCCTGTAAAAACACACCAATCAGTGCTCTGTAAAATGGACCAATCAGCAGGACATGGGCGGGGACAAACAAGGGAATAAATGCTGGCCACCCCCAGCCAGCAGCAGCAACCTGCTTGGGTCCCCTTTCACGCTGTGGAAGCTTTGTTCTTTTGCTCTATCACAATAAATCTTGCTGCTGCTCACTCTTTGGCTCCATGCCACCTTTAAGAGCTATAACACCACGAAGGGCTGAGGCTTCATTCTTGAAGTCAGCCAGACTAAGAACCCACTGTAAGGAACTAACTCCGAACACAGAAGTTTCTGGGAATTCTATCCCCAAAGCTGAGAATCGGGTAGAGCAGGACCTGGTCGTTGCCCTGGAGATCTTTGCGGATCCATCGCCGAATGGCTTGTTAATTGGCACCTGTAGGAGTTACAATGCAGAGCCCAAGAACAAGTCATGAAGACATTCCTGAAGACACTTTCATCATTACTACCTCCAATACAGAACAATCAAATCTAAAGGAACTTCTGTGGACTCACAGGTGCAGTTGTCCATGTGTCTGAAAGTATCCACTGTCATTTGAATTCTGATCCGACTCTCCTCCTGGGATGGCAAGAGTTGATGATTCTGTCCAAAGTAGTGACACTATGGTTGTGATAAGCCTTACAGAGGAGCTGAAAAAACTTGCAAAATAAGGATGGTGCTGGGGGCAATCACACGCTAACAGGCAGAAGAGAAGTGAGCAAATGTGCTAGATGGTTTTTTTCTTGTCCCAGATAGCCCTAATGACCGTCATTTTTCAAGCTCAAGCTTTTGCTCCCATAGTAAACACTTCACACTAGAATTGAACACTCAAATGGCAGGTTTTGCTTTTATGAACAACCAGACGTAAAAGGACAATTAGTTGCTCTAATTGAACATTCAACCAGGGACTCTGGAAAATAGAGTTTTTTCTTATTCAAGGTCTCGGTTGCCTGGATCTGCAATTTACCCCCTAAGACTGATCAATCCAATATTACAATTCATACAGGTTTGTTCTTTGCAGCACCCATGTCATTTGTTTTATGTCAGCATACCAGAATAGACTTATTTCAAAAACTGTCTTTGCCAAACAAAATGAAGGCTTATTGACAGGGGAAACATTGCTAAAAGATTATGAAAACCCTGTATCTTGCACTTTGGAATCAAGAAAAAGAGACTGAAATACAGTTTTACAAACTTTCGTTGCTATCAATTTTGATGCCATAACTGTTTCAGTTTTATGTGTAAAAGAGTAATCAATTTGTTGAGAGGTGGGAAAGTGTTGGCAAGGTGTCTTGAGTTTATTTTGGTCCTTTAAAAAGTAAAGTCTTGAGTTTTTAGAACTGTGAATTATCTTTATCAATTTCCAAATAATTACAATAGGAATTCTCAGATTCTCCTTAATCTGCCACAACTCCTCCTCCACTGCTACCGCCACTCCTTTGCTGCTATCCACTATTATTTTTATGTATTGAAAGCACATTTCATATTTATTCAATCTCAAGTAAAGTTGAATGAAATTTTTATTTCCTTTTTTTTTTTTTTGAGACGGACTTTGGCTCTTGTTGCCCAGGCTGGAGTGCAGTGGCACGATCTCACCTCACTGCAACCTCCACCTCCTGGGTTCAAACAATTCTCCTGCCTCAGGGTCCTGAGTAGCTGGGATTACAGGCATGTGCCACCACGCCCAGCTAATTTTTGTATTTTTAGTAGGGATGGGGTTTCACTATGTTGGCCAAGCTGGTTTCGAACTCCTAACCTCAGGTGATCTGCCTGCCTCAGCCTCCCAAAGTGCTGGGATTACAGGTGTGAGCCACCTCGCCTGGCCTGAATGAAATTTTTCGAATGAAAATTGTTGTCTTTATTTTTGAGACATGGTCTCACCCCGTCACCCAGGCTACAGTGCAGTAACACGATCACAGGGCATGATGGTGTTTGGTAGGAGGATCACAGTGGGAGGATCCTGGGCTCAAGTGATCCTCCCACCATGAGCCAACACACCCAGCTAATTTTTTTTTTTTTTTTTTTTGTAGATTTTTTTTGTAGAGACCGAATTTCACTATGTTGCCCAGGCTAGTCTTGAACTCCTGGCCTTACATGATCCTCCTGCCCTGGCCTCTCAAAGTGCTGGGGATTACAGGCATGGTGGGTCATGCCTGGCCTAAAAATCGTTGTCTCTTCAAATGGCCCATTTTCAAAAGCTAGTGTTGAAGAGACATACCTGTGATAAAACACAGAATTTACGTATACCTTGTAAATTAGATTAAGTATTTTTAATCTTACACTTTAGAAAGATTTAGAATTATGCTTTGATATAATCTTAGACAAGAGAACACAGATCCACAACATATCTTTTAGAACATCATTTTCCAAATTATTTTAAGGTTGCGCTAATTTTTTGGTTGTGAAAAGTTGAATTTTTCTGTTGCCTTCATTTTCATCTGTGGTTTGTCCTCTTTTTAAATGGTCTTGCACATAAAAATCTTAAAGAAATTTATCCCACCAATATAGACATTGTTGCTTTTTCTGTTATTAAACTCTGCTATACATTGTCATAACATATAAAGACAACTAGAACTATTATTTTTTAAAGTATTAGATGATCTTAGATTCCTATGATAGTATTTTTTGTATTATCTGTATTTTCCTTTGGTAAATGTTTTATCGTGATCTTGTTAGATTAGTAAACATTATCTTGGTTAGAACTTGATTATACAATTGGTTCTCGTAAGAGATCGTATTATCTTGCAACATTAAAATTTTTATAAAGTTTGAATTGATTTGAATAAAACATTGTTTAAAAAAGAAAAAGAAAGCATTGTTTTGAAGTTGGACTTATATTTTTCTTGAATGTAGTCACTATTAAATATGCTACATTTGACCCCTGCCCTCCCCACTTCGCACAAAAAAAGACTGCCAGATTTATGGGAGTCTTATTGCATACCATATATACTGCCATTTAAAAAATAGTTCTTTTGAGGGGGAGCACGGTGCCTCACACCTGTAATCCTAGCATTTTGGGTGGCCAAAGTGGGAGGATCACTTGAGCCTAGGAGTTTGACACCAGCCTGGACAACATGGTGAAACCCCATCTCTACAAAAAAAATTACAAAAATTAGCTGGGTGTGGTGACACCTGCCTGTGGGCCCAGCTACTCAGGAGGCTGAGGTGAGAGAATCACCTGAGCCCAGGGAGGTGGAGGTTGCAGTGAGCCAAGATCACACCACTGCATTCCAGCCTGGGCGACCAAGCAAGACCCTGTCTCAAAAAAAAAGAAAGTTTTTTGTTTATTTTTATTTTACCTAAGTCTCAAGTAATTTGGAACCATTAATCTTTTTATTCTCTGAATCAGTAGTCATTGGAGGTGGTTATCCCCAATAGTTTTCAGTTATTGTGAAATGCAGTGTGTGTATTCATTGCACAATGCTGTAATGTAGTGTTTTTGTATTGCCTTGTCCAGAAGATGTTTCCAGTTACACAGCTTTAAAGGAAAATGCTTCCATCTCACATACAACATGTAATTCAAGGTGTTTCTTCCTTTGTCTTTTACAGTTTTCCTATCTCTACCCTCATTTAAACACAGAGATAGGGCGGGGAGTGGTGGCTCACGCCTGTAATCCCAGCACTTTGAGAGGCCGAGGCAGGCGGGTCACCTGAGGTCAGGGGTTCGAGATGGTCCTGGCCAACATGGTGAAGCCCCCTTTTTATTAAAAATATAAAAATTAGCCAGACGTAGTGGCTGGTGCTGGTAATCCCAGCTACTCTGGAGGCTGAGGCAGGAGAATTGCTTGAACCTGGGAGATGGAGGTTGCAGTGAGCCAAGATCACACCACTGTACTCCAGCCTGCGCAACGAGAGTGAAACTCTGTCTCAATAAACAAACAAACAAACAAACAAACAAACACAGAGGTAAAGGTCTTAAGTCAAACTTAAGGGCTTTGTCATTCAAACATATCTGTATCCCCACTTTTTTTAATTTTCCTTTTTTTTTTTTTTTTGAGACGCAATCTCACTCTGTCGCCCAGGCTAGAGTGCAGTGGTGCGATCTCAGCTCACTGCAAACTCTGCCTCCTGGGTTCAAGTGATTCACCTGCCTCAGCCTCCGGAGTAGCTGGGATTACAGGCGACCGCCACTGTGCCCGGCTAATTTTTGTATTTTTAGTAGAGATGCGGTTTCACCATGTTGGCCAAGCTGGTCTCAAATTCCTGACCTCGTGATCCACCCGCCTCAGTGTCCCAAAGTGCTGGGATTACAGGCGTGAGCCACCACACCTGGCCTTTTTTTTTTTTTTTTTAGGGACAGGATCTTGCTCTGCCACCCCCCCCACCTCAACCTCCCAAATAGCTGGGACTACATGTGTGCACCACCACACCCAGCTTTTCCTTTGTTTTTTGAGATCAGACTGAGATATTATCAGAAAAGACACAAAGCCATAATTATCATGGTATTATGCTATTTTGACTTAAAGGGAAAAATGTAATTAATTTTGGAGAAACGTTGGCTGTACCTTGTTAATGAAGACTCATTTTCTGATATATTTTCACCTAATATGATACAATATGGAATGTGTTGTAATATGTGTTCACTATAAACTATTTGGATTAAGAACTGTTACAGACCGGGTGAGGTGGCTCACATCTGTAATCCCAGCACTTTGGGAGGCCAAGATGGGCAGATTACCTGAGCTCAAGACTTCAAGACCAGACTGGGCAACATGGCAAAACCCCGTCTCTATAAAAAAAATTAAATATACAAAAATCAGCCGGGTGTGGTGGCATGCTCTGGTAGTCCCAGCTACTCAGGAGGCTGAGGTGGGAGGATCACTTGAGCCTGGGAGGTCGAGGCTACACTGAGCCGTATTTGTGCCACCGCACTCTGGCCTGGGTGACGGAGCAAGAATCTCTAAAAACAAACAAACAAAAAGAACTATTACAGTTGTGAACTTGCTATCAAATTAGTGCAGACATTTAAACTACTTTTTTGGCAAAACTGTTTATATGTAAACAATTTAAAATATATCTAGGGTGAGTTGAAAGTTCCCATGCATCTATATTAGGATGGCAGGTATTGTCAGAGAGCCACTGTATGTTAATAATAAATGTTGAAATGGCTTCTCCATGTTTCAAGAAGCACTTACATGTACTACTTGTGAAATCATTGTGCACAGAGATCTTTGAATTGCCCTGAATCCCACTGTATCATGTGAACATAGCTTGTCCCCTGAGTTTTCCTCATGACAGTATATAACATCTAGCTGTTTAGTGTCAAGATTATTCAAACTTTCATCTAAATGTTTTTAAAGTTGTATTTCATGTTGTTTTGGAGAGCAAATGTAAACACTGTTCTCTTTCATAAATATTTGATGTGCTTTTGTATAGCCATAATATATTTAAAGAAA